ATTTGCCTATACAAGTTGTTGGATATCCCAGAGAGATAGTCTAACTTAGTTTATTTTTGCCAGGCAATGTTTCAACACCGCTTTTCACCTCTGATAGTGTAATTGTAATTACTCGTTACACGATTTTCATTTCCAACACTATTCCCAATTAACTAGGTGAATAAATTGGGTTTGAGAGTCCACGGACACGTGTAGAACATATTTTTAACCGAGAAAATTGAAAGAAAAACTATCCGAGCTGAAATTTAATTCAATTGATTTTCACAATTGACATGTTAATGACGATACCCTTGGGAACAAAGGGAATAGTAACGAATTTTATCAAAATTAATAATTTAATTGATAATAAAATTATTAAATCAATTAATAATTTATTTAAGAATGAAATTATTAAATTAATTAAAATTCAATTTAATTTTTTTTTTAATCATTTTTCCAAGTGATGAAGTTTTTAAGATAAGAAATTTTCTCATTCAATGGCACAATGTGTCGTCTACTTCAATTGAGATGTTGATTATAAGACTCTAATTCGAAAACGAGACGAATTAGAAATGACAACTTGATATTATCTCTACGAATAGATAATCGATTCGTATTGGAATTTTCAATAAAAAATGTGACCAAGAACTTCATCATTTATCAGAAGAACTGATAGAGAACGTAGAGATTCTCATTATCCATATTGTAATAATTTGGAATTGTTGTATTGAATTGCATTCCTTAGTTAAGTCAGAAGTATTTTATTATTCAAATGAAATAACTACAAAAAATTGTAAATTTTTATCTCAGTGAACAGTGAATACATTCAAATTGGGGTGTGAATCACAATAGTTAAGAACAGTTAAAAATAGTTGATTTAAATGCTCTGATTTGTACACGACAAAAATAACCAAATAATTTTATATTTCCTTCAAATTTTCCATATTTTCTTGAAATTTTCTCGTTTGCGTCTGCTATTTTCCATCTAAGAATAATATTACACTTGCAGAGAAGATTTTCATTTTCATCTCCGACCTTTTATCTACTCTACTTCGATGCAATTTACCGGTTCCACAATGTAAGTCGTTCCCCCTGGAACTTTCAAATGGAAACAAACACAAAGCAAATTCATAACATCTACAGTAATTAGGTCATCAGTCAAATTGCATTGATAAAAACGTGAAACATTATATTGAAACAAATTGGTATTGAACTGTGGCACTGTGACCAATTTCTTTATTACTGCAAAATACTTAGCATGACATTCGTCCACACAGTACGATTTGCATTGGCAATCAGAAGCTCTAATGAAACAAACAATTACTCCGAATCCAACATCACCATTGAGCTTAAATTTTACATGAGTCGAATCGGTTTTCTTCCCTCGTCGGTAGATTTGTGAAGTGTAGAGAATCCCTGTTTTCATGAATCGATTAAAAATTCCAATATTCGTATGAATCGTATTTGATGATTCGAGAGTCTCCCAAATTAAATCTGGAACTTGATCTTCAGAAACTCTCAACGATGCTCTCTGGACGTAAATTCTGGATGAGCTCGGGTAGGGCCATGTAATAGGACAGACCAGTACATATTTGTAGTCCAGAGAAGCGTGCTCCATTGATTAGGGTTTTCAATTGACCATTGGCGTTTTCAAAGGTGAAGCATGACGTTACCCACAGTGGACCAAAGTCTCGTGCAGTTTTAGGGAGATGAGGTAATAAATGGAGATTGGCACTCATGAATCTACCGTAAAGATCAGAAAACCTAGAAACGAACTCTATGAACAATTCGTCAGCCTTATCAATCATTTCATCTGAAAAACTGGATTGATTCAGTAAAAACATGCCATCTACCAGTAATAAATAGTGTTCGAAATAAACATTTGGCATGATCAATTTTAAAATGGGGACCGAATAATAAAAAAACCATACTTTCAATTCTGATGCTTTAAAATAACGTAGGTGCTCTGAAATAGAACGAGGGAGACGAGGAACAAAACTAGGTGGCCTTATGGCAAGGATATATTGGTCAACAATCTTCCTATACTTTGAAAGTGACCATTCTCTACTGCTGAAACTTGATGAAAACCATAGGATGAGTAGCATCTTCACTGTCCCCAGAAAAACTGCGTGCATTTCATCTACTGCAGTACCACGAATATAATTAGGTACCAATTGGGAAATGACACTTGGTCCTTTGAATCCATATGGAGCACCACCATAGTGTACTGCTTCAGCTGCAAAATTGTTGGTTTATTCCTGGGTCCGTTCATCAAGGTGTCTCTCGAAAGGATACACCCGTACTGTTGTCCGTTCATATGCCTCTGATCTAATTTTGCACTTTTGGCAGCCATGCTCTCCGTTATACTGTATCATGTTCAAGAAGAGAGGCTTCGCAGGTAAGTCACAGGTTCCACAGATTACTGTCACTTGAACGCGCAGAGAAGAATTCAAACTTGGGACTTGGAATTCAACTCCATTTTTCAACTTCTCCAATTCCTGAACTATTGGTTGCAAGTATAATGGAGGGTAAGGTTTCTTAGGACCAAACCACAATCCTGTTAATAATAAATTCTCCTTTTGTGTTCTCTGATGAACTGGAAGTTCGTTTATACGGAAGAAGAAGGGCCAAATTTGGAAATTCGATGACTTGAATAAGGCAATTCCATCCGTATTCCACGTGAGTGAAATATGATTTGCATCAGATATAATACCAGTCGCCTGATCCAACTCTTGGTAAATTTTGCCATCGTAAATGTCTTCGTAATTGTTGGGGTCGATTTTTTTTCGGTTGAAGCGATATTGTAAATGATGGAAGAAGTCAAAACGTTTGTACAGGGTTTCAAGCTGACTTTCAACGGAAATGTGGATGAAGTAACTCACTTCAGTACCTTTAGGACACTGGTCGCATGAATCTTTCCCGTCTCGCAATGGTCCGTAACAATTAGAACAGAAGAAATGACGTCTCAGTGGGGTATAAATATTCTTGAAATATTTCCTAAATAAGTATAAACTCTTGACACAGTGATTTGGTCGCCTGCAGTGTAATTTGATTAACTTTAGAATATCTGCTAGACAAGCGCCAGTGAGTGAATGACGCAAGAGTACTGTCAAAATGGACAATGCACTCTCACTCTCTGTGATTCTTGCTCCATCATACAATAAACGATCTTCAATTATCGGGATATGGTCTTCTTCACCCAAGTCCTCGAAATCATCCTCATGCCTGCCATCCTCATCTTCATCGCTCGTAGAAGTTGTCGTTGCGTCTTCTACCTCTGATTCACGAGTACTCACATAATTTTCATCGTATGTATTACCTAAACACCACAGAGAAATTGTTATTGTTATTTATTATGAGAGATACTCAGGATTGGGCAGTAAATAACGGATGAAACTGTGGTATAACTGACTTGTATTTATTCAGAGGAAGTCATTTGTAAACCGTGTCGTCACCATTTTCGTACATTATCATTATTTTTATCCCGGCAGCGCCTCTATACAAAGACTGAAAGTAATCAGTACATTGTTATGATTCGTCCAGTCGGTAATACTGGAATTACAAATGTCATAACACTCCCACTTAATTCTGTATGACCGTATTTTAATCTGTGTTTTTCTGGGCTTGTTATTCCGATTAACTTCCTTAGCTTTTCAAATGATGTCCTGGGTAGCGGCTTCGTGAAGATGTCTGCCAGTTGATCCTCAGATCTTACGTAATCGACTGTGAACTTTTTCTCGTTGAATTTTTCACATAGGGTTTTATATTTGATGTCCACATGTTTCCCTGATGATTGGAATAGTCCATTTTTAATCCACTGAATGGCACTCTGGTTGTCAACGTGTAGGTGAGGTATCAGTTGTGGTTTTGGTGATAGTTCGCTGATGAAATTAGTTGACCAGGTTCCAATGTTCATGGTGTGACCAGCAGCAATGAACCCAGCTTCGGTGGTGGACTGGGAGATGCTACGTTGTTTCTTGGTACCCCAGTGTACTGGAGAACCGTGGTATTTTATCAGGTAGCCTGATGTTGAGTGTCTGGAGCTGACGTCTTCAGCGTAGTCAGCATCGCTGAATGCTTGTAGTCCTTTGGAGGTTCCGTTGCTGTTGAGTTTAATGCCATAATTGGTCGTCCCCTTCAGGTACTTCAGGATTAAAATGTTTGGCTTCCGGATGGATGCCGCGTTTGGATTCAGCGTTGCGCCGACGTTTCGCAAACATTGCAGTCTGCATCTTCAGGGCTATGAGCTCCGATTCTGAGCTCCGATGTCTAGGGGTAGTCCTTATATGCCTTCCCTTGTGGTGGTGGGGGAAGGGGAAGGGGGGCGGGTGGTCAGCCAATCATATATTTTTAATTGATCAGCTGGTCAAT